TTCTTATACAGTGAAGTTCGAGGTGAACTGAGTTGAACCTCAAAACGATGAGCAGCCACAGTCCGTGGCGTTTTTTTGATATGTGCCGCTCTTGGAGGAATCAACCGTGGAAGTATCTATAGAAGAGAGAAAAATCCCCCAACCTTTCTACCATGTTCCAATCTATCAAGGTTTTAAGTGATGTTCGCGTCTCCAATCAGGCGGATGGCTCTTTTCTGGATAGAATCCAGCAGCTTCAGGGTATGCTAAGGGGCGGTGCTCCATACACGAGAACAGTACTCCAAAGAAGGTCTGATCTGAGGTTTATCAAGCATGAAAAGTTGCTGAGGTGTGTACAGTTTTCTGGTTCGAAACAGTGTTCCAAGCTTTTGAGAAGCAGCCTTTGCAATTCCAGTGATATGATTTTGCTAAGACATATTGGTGTCCATTTTAAACCCCTAACAATCTACACTGCAATAATAAGACCTATGTTAACGTACGGAGCCATTGCATGGGAACCGAAAGTTCTACAAGCAACGGCTATCCAAAAATTATATCAAATACAGCAACTGGCTTGTTTCAACATCACAGGAGCCATGAGAACAACACCAACCGCGGAAATGGAATTAATTACGGGTTTGACCCCTCTTGACATGTACGTTAAGGAGGTTGCGTTAATGGTTACGATTCCGCACGGCTGGTGAAACCTCGAAGTAGGAATGGGTCAATTGAGGCTGATCCTATGGCGAGAAGCGCTCACTGTACAACCTCTGCTGCAGGCAACCACTGATTCAATTGAACCCAGGTTTGTGTTTAATAAACCCTACAAAATACAAATAAAACGGAACACACAGTCAGATGCTACAAATGCAATACGCATATATATAGACGGCTCAAAAACCAAAGAAGGGTCAGGATGTGGAGTTTACTCCAGATCACTAAGCCTAAGGATTGAGTGGGGAATGGGAAAAATACCAGCGTGGTCCAAACAGAACTGGCTGGTATCTCAATCGTCACTAAAAAATTAGCAGGAAAGGAATATCTGACAAAAACATAACGATCTCCAATAACAGCAGACGAGCCCTATAAGCCTTGAACAGACAACGTGTTACCTCAGGGCTAGTACTAGAGTGCCACCAAGATTTAGCCAAAGCCTTGGTAGATAATAACATTATCCTGAGGTGGGTTAAAGGACACGACAGAAGTAAAGGTAATCGCATTGCGCATTTAGTCCAGCATAGCTTGGCATAGCCAAGGAAGCGGCTGGACTAAAAATTTCAAGACCCAGTGGCACCTACGGCCTGATGATTTCGACAATTTCGGAACTACCCAAATGTTACACCCATGCTAAATCCCTGAAGAGATGGGATGAAATCAAAGAATGCAGTCTTGCTAGGATCACCTTGGGTGACCCTGGGAAGCTGGCGCCGAAGAAATATCTGGCAATGACCAGGAAAAATCTACGCCTAATAGTGGGATTTCTGACTGGCCACTGTCAACTAAGGAAACACCTTAATAATATGGGGCTAGTGAACACACCTCTATGCAGGATGTGTGAACAGGAAGATGAGACTGTCAGGCTAGTGTCCGGAGTTATCGTCAATAAGAGAGTGTGTGTTCGGCGAGTCTTGGCCTACACCTGCCGATATAAAGAAGCCAGAGACCTGACCACCTTCCTGGAAAGGACAGGATGGATGAAGACCTAGGAGGACAACTCCTTAAGAGGATGTACAATGGGTCACATGTGGCCTAAGTGCTGTGAGTTCACACTCACCCTACCTACTCTACAGATACAGAACCCCCAACAAGCTCATCGAAGCAGAAAGCAGAATTGTATGCCCTGGCATTATTGTATCCGATTCGGAGACTGACCCATCACAAACGGATTGTGGGTTGGCAGAAGAACTGGGTGTCAGCTCCCATGCAGTTTGAAACGTATTGGAAAGGCCAATAAGCTCAAAAAGTGGGTTCCCCACGTTTTGAACAATTTACAGAAATGTCATGTTTCGAAGACTGTTCTTCTTTGCTTCTGCGCAACCAAAACGATTTTTTTGGCTCGTATAGTTACATTTGATGAAAAGTGGATTCTTCACGACAACAGGAAAGGTTCAAGATATTGGTTTGCCGCCGATGACACAGCCGATGTGTGAGAGCTCGCATTGTCGTGGTGAAGAGTGATCCGTCTTCGGTGGTTGGTTTTTCTGATTTCTTGGAAGACAACTGGCAAATAAACAACAGAAAAGAGCGCGCGTATGTCACATCGTTCTGAGTACGTGTAAGCTCAAAAATGTCCAACTTTACGGTATAGAGCTGTCAATTGCCAAATTGCAACACTAGGGTTGCCAAATCCCGAAACATAAAAAGCAACCCTCCCAGTAATTCGGGGGTCAGGATTCCTACTTTTCTACTTCATGTATTAGGGATCTAGAAAATGAAAAGTTTTTTCTAAATATTGTGATAGTGTTTAAGAAGTATTTTCAACAATTGGGAAACAAAAATCCCCTTGTTTAATTCCTATAAAAACACTTTGCGTTATCATTTCTTATATTCCACTCCACAATTTTGTCCGATTCTTATCATTAGGTAAACTAAATGATTTTTGAACCGTTTATTCAGTGTTCCATGGATCCATTTGATTTTCAGAAATGAGTTTGTGGCAGTACGCGTGTATACTATTGCCAACTGGCACAATTCTTTGGAAAACCAATGCCGCAGCGAAATGTTGGATGAAGTTTTCTGTTTTCACCCTTTGTTGTGTGTCGTCGTGCATGATGATTCCCTTGTGGTTGGTGCGGCCAAAAAATAGCAAGAATGCGTTGTAAGTAACCAAAGTTCATTTATGAATATTTTGAAAAAAATGTTTTGAATTTTTACACAAACTAAATAGTTATAATTAGGAGCACCGTGGTTTTAGGCAATTTGGACAGATTCTCATATACAAGGGTATAAATGATCTGCATAAAAGTATAGTTTACCACGACTTATGTGCTTAGGAAGATTGTTAACGTCACTGGTCCAAAAAGACTACCCTGTGGCGTTCTTGTTGTTATGATTTCTTCACGGTTCTATTCAATACCACAAAAATACAACCGCTACTCAACAATATATTTCGTTGAAACAGACAATTCAATAAAGCATTTTCGATTTCGTAGTTTTATGTTGCCCACATTCATAGAAGCGTCATCACCATGATTCATTTATACCACCATGTAAACATGTTGAAATCTTGATGGAAAACCATCGTCAGTATTTATATGCAAAAGAGCAAATGCCTTGCAATTTGAAAAATGTATTTTTTCGCAATTTTCACAAACAATTTCGTTACATCTTTTTAAAATGGTAAAAAGTACACTTTGACCTATATTTTTCCAAGATTTTATTTTGCATTACAATAATTAGTAACAGACGAAACCCATACTCATCGTACCTACGATACTCTAGCTAATAAAAAACTATTATACTGGAAAGAGCGACATTTATTTGACCTTACGCACTTTGCTGTATACGGTATAGTTCATCAGTTTCAGATAAGATAAAATGTTGCCGAAAATATATTTATTTGGACCAAAACAGGGTGTAGATGAAAAATAAAGCAATATTTTTTATTACAAAATGAAACTGTTGGAGATAAAATAGTTTATTTATCAGTACTTACAAAAATCTAAGCAGCTACAATCGATAAAAACCATAATCTAGCTTTTTCTTCAGTAGTAAAGAACATATCAACTGAAATTTCTATCCTTTTCAGATGTGGTTTACATAACATTCTATTCTATAATAAGTGATTTGGTCAGTCTAAGCGAACCATTGAAACTATTTCTAAAAAACACGCAGCATATATCCGATTTCAGAGAACACTTTTTGGGGAATGGTCTGCTTGCAAAATACCGAATGGGAATATCTAAAGGGATGTCGAGTTCAACAATCCAACTGACCTCCCTGTAAATTTATTTCAGGAACGAGTCTACAGAGGACCTGGATGTCCAGTTCACGACTCCAGTTGTCCTCCCTGTAAATTTAGTTCAGGAGCGAGTCTACAGAGGAGATGGATGTCAAGTTTTCGACTCCAACTGACGTCCCTGTAAATTTATTTCATGGGCGAGTCTACAGAGGAGATAGATGTCGAGTTTACGACTCCAACTGACCTCCCTGTGAATTTAGTTCAGAAACGAGTCTACAGAGGAGATGGATGTCAAGTTTTCGACTCCAACTGATGTCCCTGTAAATTTATTTCAGGGGCGAATCTACAAAGGAGATGGATGTCGAGTTAACGACTACAACTGACCTCCCTGTAAATTTAGTTTAGGAGCGAGTCGACAGAAGGGATGGATGTCGAGTTTACGACTCCAAATGACTTCCCTGTAAATTTAGTTCAGGAGCGAGAGCTTCTCAACTCCCTAACTCCTGATCCAATAACTGACCTAAAAAAAGGTTTAATGGTGCAGCCAGGAAACGACTGAGTCGTCTCCTCAAGAGCGGGGTAGCTCATGAAACCGCCTTGCACCAAACTCTTGAGCGGTGTACGCAGAATCTATCTCAGGTGGAGGAACAAACCCCCCATAAGTTCGGCAGAGCCGTACTCTAACCATCTGACCTAAAAGACCACTCACCATACAAACTAATCCGCTTCATTAAGAAACTGGATTTATTTGATCGAGTGTGAATAGGTGTGAGCCACTATAAACCCTTGCGGGTTGCGGTGGAGGGTCGAATAGACCCACTCACTTTGGACCCAACCTAACCAATCTGAAGGGACACAGGAAGTTCTATTTTCAACTTTCAATCACTTTTTCAATCAAACTAAAAAACTGTATTTTCTCACCATCCTGTATTGAAATAACGGAGATTACCTAACTCCAGAGCAAATTTCGGTACCATAGCTTTCATTTTCTCAAAGATACTAGCATTTTTATAGGTCATGATTTCCGAAGAAAAAAAATTAAATTACTTCATATTTCGAAAACGGTAACACTCATTGGTAAGGCATGAATCCAAAGATGAGAGAAAGGTAGCCCTCATTTGTCCTATATTCATCAGAACGATATTGGTCATTCATTCTGGTTCGATGACTTTCTGTTGCAGTTTTATCACACCTCTGGCCAGTTCTGCCAAAATGCACGGTGATCTCGAAGAAAGAAATGATGTACTACCAACCGTTCGGTTTAGCTTTTTGGTTGTGTGGAGCGATTTTTATCGATCGATCAAAATCCAGTGAAGCTCAAAGTGTCATCAATAAAACTGGGGAGATTATCAGAAAAAGAAAGGTTTGTATGCATAAAAAGACAATCGTTTGAGAAAAACCTGATCTAACGAATGAAATGCTAAAAATTTCGAAAAATGTATTTTAATTTTCCAACTTAATCTCCTATCCAGTTCAATAACTTGTTTGGGCCTCTGAAAAATTGAGCTCACTCAAATAGACAGATTGCAACTGAGATCTATTGCCTAGTTGTTGCCTGCGGCTTCTCCCGCGTAGAATTTGGTCTGTCACATAGAGTTTCGTGGCAGACCATTTTGAACAAATAGTTACAATATTTTTTTTAACCCAAAACTTCGGGTTTCCAACGTCAAAACTGACGAAATTCAATAATCTTCAAACCTCTATTTTTCCCCTTGGGGTGGAAATTCCTGATTCCCATTCTTGATGCTCATTTACGCTATACAAAGAACCTACCTGCATATTTCAAGTTTATAGCTTCAGCAACTTCGGCTGTACGTTAATATAAGAGTGTTAGTACCCACATAGAGTGTGTTTCCACGGTAACACGGGTAAAACAGCGGAGAACATCTAGTATTGTATAAGTGGCTATTTGTCTACGACTATCGATCAAAAAATTGAATTTTTCAAATATATCATTTCCTGTGGGTTTTCTTTTAACTGAAAAATGTGTACATATCTTGAATCACTTTCGAGATACAGGGCAGACAGCCCCCAGTGTTTAACTATTTTGAGTATCATTTGAGGTCAACCGGTAGTCCCGATCAAAAACACGCCGTATAAAGTATACAGAGGAGATGGATGTCGAGTTTACGACTCCAACTGACCTCCCTGTGAATTTAGTTCAGGAGCGAGTCTACAGAGGAGATGGATGTCGAGTTTGCGACTCCAAACTCGGTAGAGCCGTACTCTAACATCTGACCTGAAAGACCACTCATCATACAAAATAATCGGCTTTGTTAAGGGGTTGGGTTCATTTGGTCGAGTGCCACTCGAGTGCCGCTCACTTTGGACCTAACCTAACCTAACCTATCAGAAGGGACATTTTCACAAATAAATGTTCATAAGTCCGAAACTTGACTAGTTAGGTATACGCATGATATATACAGAAAGAAAGCAAATTTCAACGGCTTTCTGAATTTGTAATAATACACAGGAAGTTCTATTTGAAATAATCAACTTTCAATCACTTTTTCAATCAAACTAAAAAACTGTATTTTCTCACCATCCTGTATTGAAATAACGGAGATTACGCTGAAGTGTGGGAAGCCTCTAAGTATCACCTAACTCCAGAGCTAATTTCGGTACCATAACTTTCCTTTTCTCAAAGATACTAGCATTTTTATAGGTCATGATTTCCGAAGAAAAAAAATTAAATTATTTCATATTTCGAAACCGGTAACGGATAAGTATAAGAAAATATCGAAAAAAGTTGTCGTGTAATTGTTTTAGATTGCAAACATGGCATTATTTACAGAGTGTTCCATTTGAAAAATTAAAGTTTCACTATAAATCATATAGATATCACATTTGGTTTGGATCCAATTGTTATATCGATTATTTCATTTGACACATATTTTTAATACTGATGTCTGACGTGATCTATTCGAAACTTTCGGATGTTGTTATCTATTCTTCAAGCAACAGAAAAAAAAAGACCTTAGTCGATCATATCATTGATAAGTTACAAAATTTGTAAGAAGCGTTCCTTCTATGCAGTAGTTTTCATTCTGAAATGAATACATTGACCTTCCTTCTCCAGTTTTTTTACAATTGTTATTAGTTCTATTTGTCATGAAATAAAAATCAAAAAATAACCCAGTAGCCTAAAATAGTTTCATCTTTTTTTATTAAAATTGCAAATGTTGACAAATATAACGTTAAGTTGAGATTAAACTATATACTCTATATGCCATATAGTATACTACATACTATATAGTATATAATATATACTATTATATT